GATGTGCAGCCAGCAGACCTAGGAAATGAGATCGGTATCTGCTTCTAGTCAGTCAACACACTGTGGGGTATGAGATTGTTTGGTTCACACTCAGGATGGGATGGAGAAAGGAAACTCACGATGTGCTCTCTATATACATGTTGTATTGGGTGTACAATGCAGCTTGGTGCTGGGAAGGCAGCATGGTTACAAGCGTGATGTAGAGAGAGCTGGTTGGTGAGGATGCTCAGAGGAGGACCAGTCTGTGAGTCGCCATGCTCGCCGGCGGGAGCGAGGACCGCCAGGCAGGCGGAGGAGGAGGAGGTGTTGCTGGCTGGTTGGTGGAGGTAGAAAGAGCAGATCACCACGAGGTCAGGTCTTAAATAGCGGGGGTAGGCGTGGCTTAGTAGTTAACCCCCGCTCCGTGATGTATGGCGGCGCTGGTGACCTAGACCACGAGGCATACACTGGGGAATTGGTGTGGTTGGCTAGGCAGCGACAAACAGCGTTTGTAGGGGAGAAATCCACTACAATACTCCCCCTTCCCTCCAGGCGGTGTAGGAGACTTGTTGTCTGCAGGGTTGCTTTGCACATGTTAGGCAGAACGGGCGGTGCATGCCTCATGTGAGACAACGGCGATGGCGTGGATGAGCCAGTCGCTGGACACAACTGTCTAGATACACAATATCTGTGGGAGTAGAGAGGGAGAAAAAGAGTGTGTGGAGGCGATGAATGTTGTTCTTCCCTCACGGCAGGTACAGAGTCGTCAGATGCGCCAGCTGGGGTGTGTGGGCCTGGGTCAGGAGCAAGGGCTGCGTCAGCAGAAGCGGATGAGGGCTCGTGACAGCAGCTGGGTCGGGGCGGCGTCTGGGGCAGGATGGGTGTGTTGGGGTCGGAAGAGGAGCTGGTGTCTGCTTAGAGAAGCAGAGCTGCTCTAGGGTGTCTAACCTGCGGTGTAGAGACAGTAGCTGTAGAGCCGATGAGAGCTGCTTCTGGATGGATAAGCCAGTCTTCCATGTTGCTTGAAGACTGAGAGCGTGATCTGTTTCTCCTCCATCCTGTGTGAGTGCGAATCTCCGGGAGTCACCATTTGTGGGGTTCGCTCAGCATGGTTACAAGCGTGATATAGAGAGAGCTGGTTGGTGAGGATGCTCAGAGGAGGACCAGCCTGTGAGTCGCCATGCTCGCCGGCGGGAGCGAGGACCGCCAGGCAGGCGGAGGAGGAGGAGGTGTTGCTGGCTGGTTGGTGGAGGTAGAAGGAGCAGGTCACCACGAGGTCAGGTCTTAAATAGCGGGGGTTGGCGTGGCTTAGTAGTTGACCCCCGCTCCGTGGTGTATGGCGGCGCTGGTTGACCTAGACCACGAGGCATACACTGGGGAATTGGTGGGGTCGGCTAGGCAGCGACAAACAGCGTTTGTAGGGGAGAAATCCACTACAACACCACCTACAATAACAAATGATAGACTTCTGCAGGAAATCAAGGAAGGCACAATCAAATTCACCTACGAAGATGATAGGGTAGAAGAATCCTACATAGACCAGTTGATAAGTGCAGGACTTATAAACACCAAATACAACAAAATTGAAAGAGTAGATATAACTAAGTTTAAGAAAATCAGAACGGGACTAAAGGAGGAAAGGAATAGACATTCGCCAGGAGATACACGAGCCAGCAAACACCCTACACCGTACACCAAGTTCTCGGGATCCACGACTACTCAAAACAAATCATTAAAGATAGTTCAGCACAACGTCCTTGCCTGGACTCTGACGAGGAAATCAGAACTTACTAACATACACAGCACAATAGACCTAGACATCATCCTTATCAACGCACATGGTCGGATAAACAGTGACAAAATCAGGATCTTTAACTACCATGTACATCAAATGAACATACACGACGAACCACATGACGGAATAGCAATAGCTATAAAACACAACATACAATACAAAATCATTGACAACTTTCAAAGTAATTTTCTTGCAGCCGAAATAAATACAAGAGGCCCAATAACTATTGGAACTTCATATTTAACATTCAGGAGGCCAATATTCCCTACAGGGGACATCTTAAAACTAATGAGGCAAAACAATCCAGCATACTTCATAGGAGACCTCAATGCTAAACACACAACCTTAGGACACAATATTAGAAACCCAGGAGGAAAAATCCTCCATGCTCTCATCGAACACGGGACAATAACACACCTCGGGCCCGACTTCGCAACTTACGCATCAGCTGGTAACTCTGGGAAACCAGACATTGTTTTAACCAATAGGCATCACCATCTAAACGTACATCTAAAAGCTGGACCCACAACAACCAGTGATCACCTACCCATAATAGCAACTCTAGCCACATCCCCGATACAAATTCCATCAATCCCAAGATTTTCACTCAATAGAGCAAATTGGGAAAAATTTAAATCGGATCTTAGCAACAACGAACCAACACTACTACACAACAAAGACACAACAGAGATTGACAAAACACTGGATACATGGTACAATGAAGTAATAACAGCAATTAAAAACAACATCCCAAAAACAACATACCGTACATTACCACATGCACAATTAACATATGAAGAGAAAATGATCCAAGCCAGATTCACCAATCTAATTGAATACACAAAAACACACGGGTGGAGCAATGACAACAGAATATTATACAGGAATCTAAAAGAAGAACTGAAAGACATAAGCAAGAACAAACACAATGAAACATGGAACAAACTGATCCATGATACACAAGCAGACTACAGAAATCCAAAAGCATTCCGGAAAAAAATAAAAAACCTAATGGGAACTAATTCGGAAGAAACTAGCTACATAAAGGACAAAAACGGTAGAAAGACAACAGAACCACACGATAAAGAACCAATATTTAGAGAATTCTGGAAAGACATATTCAGAATCAACGACGAAGACAGTAGAAGCTTCTGCTAAGAAACAGAACAGGCAACTAGAACATATTTGAGCCAGAACACAGAGAAATGGAAACCTACTAGAAAAATCAACCTCAATTCATTAAACATCAATAACCCAATAATTGCTCCATTAACTCAAAATGATATTGAAAAAAACAATAGCAAGCTTCAAGAACAAAGCACCTGGCATAAGCCAAATTAATAAAATCGTACTTCAAAACATTCCTGAGTCTATGATCGAACAGCTTAAAAATATATACAATGCCTCACTTGCAACTGGCTTCTTCCCTACCAAATTTAAAATAGCCAAAATCAGACTCATCCCGAAAGCAGGAAAGAACCATACTCAAGCAGAGAACTACAGACCTATCTCACCACTGGAAACACCCGGTAAAATATTGGAAAAAATAGTCAACCACAGACTCAGAAATTTTCTAGACCAAGAAAACAAATATAACCCGAGACAGCGCGGCTTTCGGAAAAATCGAGGAACCAACACAGCAATAGCACGAATATACGAATCAATTGCAAATGCTGCAAGCAACAGAGACCAATGCAATATAATTATAAGAGATGTGTCAAAGCATTTGATAAAGTCTGGCATGAAGGATTGAAGTTGAAAATAATCAAATTGGACATGCCTACCAATATCACAACACTACTATGCAATTTCTTAGACAACAGAAAGGCCAAATTAATCATCGACAACCATCTAGGACAAACTTTTAACCTTCATAGTGGAGTTCCCCAAGGCAGTAATATATCGCCGCTATTATACACTGTATACACAGCAGACAAGCCGCAACCACGGCAATCAGAATATATAGCATACGCAGATGATGTCACACAGATAGTCAGGTACCCAGGAAAATCCAAACAAATGATGGCCATTAGAACAAGCAGAGAAATAGAGATAATAAACAACTATGAACGAAAATGGAAGATAAAAACCAATATCCAAAAACTCAAAATAATTCACATCACAAAAACAAACCCATACCCTATTATTGTCAACAACCAACAAATACCATATGCCGCCAACGGAAAAATCTTAGGACTCAAGATAACCAGAAACGGAATAATCCCCCACATCAATGAAAGAATAGCTATGGCAAAATCACAACTTACAAAGCTCAGAAGATTCCGCCAATTAAACACAAACACGCAATTGCACCTATACAAAGCACTGATCAGACCACACTTAGAATTCCCTCCGATACCTCTGAACACAATCGCAAGAACAAATCAACTTAAATTTCAAGCAGTGCAAAATATAGCCCTCAGAAGAGCGGCAAAACACCAACCACCATACACACAAACAGCACAAGACATACACACAGAACACGGCATAGACCCACTCAACACCAGAATACACACCCAAGCAAATGCAATATGGGAAAAAATCCAGCAAGAACAGGATCCCATACTAAACCAACTAATTGAGGAAAACAACAACACATCGCACAGATGGTGGCCTAGAAGCAGGAAAAATGATAACGAAGAACCAGAGCCTCTATATACACAATAAAAAAGAACCAAAAGATGGGCACAACTCTCCAGTCACACAAGGACCTGGAGGGACCCCACAAATAAACAAAGACCTAAATAGTTCACAAACACCCACAATAAAAAACGAAAACGAAAAAGATGGGGATCATCCCTCCAGTGCCACAAGGACCTGGAGGGACCCCCCCCCCATCATAATATGCCCCAAGGAAACATCAAATAGAACAACTTAGCTTAGCTTGGCTGAGACCGGCCTTCCCTAACCGCATGAGTCCTCTAAGGCAGCACTGTTGACGGAAGACAAAAAACCCCGTCTCCGCAAGGTGGATAGCCCACCTGCTGTTAACCTCCTCCTCTATTTCCCACTTCTGAACTTTACCTTGTACTGTACCCTTCTTACACCCTCAGAGCTAATGCTCTCTTCTCTCCGTATCACCGACCGACCTGAGATTCATTCTGCCTTAAGTTCCTGAACATGCAACACCTCCTTCGAGCAGGCTCCTCACTGTCCAGCTCTCATTCAACCTGGAGGCCAGCAACACGCAACATCTCCTCTAACGAAGCTCCAGCACGCTACTCACCCAACGTGTCCTCTGTGCAAGCTTCTCACCACACGGCATCTCCAGTACCAGACTGTCTTGTACATAATATATTTTATATAAGAAAACCACCACCTTAGAGTTTCCATCCATCCCATCCTGAGTGCGAGACAACACATAATAAAACGTAACCCTACAGTGTCTCTTATACTCGTATCTTATATAGAAACCGGTAATGGTGGTGGTGGTGGTGATGGTGGTGATGGCTGTAACATGGAAGAGGACGGTTAATACTTGGTGTTTTAATACCTCAGTTGTAGAATAACTAGGTCATTATTTTAACTTCTTGTTTTATCCTCGTCACCACTGATCGGCTCGTTAGCCGTTTGAGTGATCGGTCACGTCTCTGATACTTTTCCTTTTTTTTATCCTCTTCACCAGATGACCGACTCGTTAGCCGCTTGGGCGATCGGTCACGTCTCTGTTACGCACTGTTGGCAAGTAATGGGCATGCACCGGCTCCTCAATGTACCTAAACCCGCTCCAGTGTTGGTCAAGTCTTGTCTTGAAAGAGCTCACACTCGGTGCCGTCACAACACTTTCTGGTAGATTGTTTCAAGAGTTCACAACTCCCACCCCGAAAAAGTTTGCCCTCACAATTTTCTGGACTTGCAGCTTCTTCAATCTTGAGCTGTGACTCCGTGTGGGGCGAGCGTCCGCCAGCTCCAAGTAAGGACATTCGACTGAGTAGTGCCCCTTGAGATGCTTATACACCTCAACTAGGTCCCCCCTTGCCTGTCTGCAGTATAAGCTAGGCAAGTTCAGGCGCTCCAATCTCTCAGGGTAGCTGAGGTGCCGAAGTCCAGGCACCTGTCTGGTGGCCATCCTTTGAACATTTTCAACCAACTGACAGTCCCAAGCATATCTCGGGGACCAGACGGGGTGACAGTACTCCAGATGGGGAAGCACTTCACTCTTGAAGATCGTTACGAAAGATGGACCGTCTAGATATCTGAACGACCATCTTATAAGACCCAATAATTTATTTGCCTGATTTACCTTATTTTCGCAATGGCCCGAGAACTTCAGCTCATTGTCAACATACACAGCTAGGTCTCTCACATTCAGTCTCAAATAGTGCAGTTTCTTCATCCTGTTGGGACATATGATGCGCCTCCTTACCGTTGGTACGCCCCAGGTGCATCCTCTTACACTTCGTGACATTAAATCTCAGCAGCCATTTCTTCGACCATTCTTGGAGCCCACAGAGGTCCTTCCGCAGCTCTTCACAGTCTGCTTGGTTCTTGATTTCCCGAAATAATTTGGCGTCATTGGCAAACATTTGTATGGAGGAGTGTACAACGTCAGACATGTCATTTATGAAACAAGCAAACAACAGCGGGCCCAATACACTGCCCTGTGGTACCCCGCTTGTGACAGGTACAGATGATGATTTCGTGCCAATAATCACCACACACTGCTTGCGGTCATGTAGAAAGTCTTGAATCCACGCTAGGATATTTCCCGGAATTCCGTACCCTTCCAGTTTGATTTTCAACCTTTCGTGGGGTACACTGTCGAAAGCCTTGGCAAAATCTAGGTAAATATTGGCGATATTACCACCCCGTTCCAGAATATGGGTCCAAATATCCAATACCTTGAGCAATTGTGTTAAGCAGGAGCGCCCTGGCATAAAACCGTGTTGGCAATCCTTTACAAGGTTGTTTCGTGGTTGTTGTTGTTGTGGCGAGGGGAGGGGGGTGGGGGGTGCAGACTGTGTATTGATCTACACCTATTTAAAAAATAATGAGAAAAAAAGAACAGTACTCAGCTGCCCTCTGCAGAAAGTCTCATTTACGCTAGGACACTTTCCCGAATCCTGTACCCTTCGAGTTTAATTTTCAGCTTTTAATGAGGTACCCTTTCAAAAGCTTTGGCCAAATACAGGTATATATTGTCGATATTGCCACCCTTTTCCAAAATTTGGGTCCAAATATCCAGTACCTTGAGAAATTGTGTTAAGCAGGACTGTCCCTGTATAAAACCGTGTTGCCGGGACGAGTCTGCTTACAAGTTTCGTAGTGGAAAACATACTTAAGTAAAATTAAAGTACGAAAAAATTGAATACTTTTTAAAAAGTACATACACAAAATTATTACTTGAGTACAGTCATCAAGAAAATTTATTTAGTTACTTTGCAACTCTGGATAATCGTAATAATACCTGGTGTGGCATGGAGAAAGATACTTGTGTTTCCCGCCACCTGAGGTGTAAACAAAGCGCACGTGGGTGTTGTTGACATGGCCAGGTGCAGCCAACCACAATATTATTATTATTATTACTATTATTACTATTATTATTATTTTTATTATTATTATTATTATATTATTATTATTATTATATTGTTGTATTTGTTGTTATTTTTGACGTTGCTGATGTTATCATTGCCTTTGGTCATTATCTCTGTTGTGTGTATTATTATTAGCTGGTGCGAGGTGAGCGGTCCTGACAACAGTAGGTTTATTATATACATATATTATTATTTGTTCTTATTATTAATCTTTTCCATTGGGGTGGTCAAGGGTCAGTCTGTTCAAAATAGTTTTTATTGTTCAGTGATAGTAAAGTAAAGGGCTGACGTTTAGAGTATACTGAAATAGTCTCACCATTATCTCTCGCGTCCAGGCGAATTTTTGTGGTAACTTTAAATACTGTATGTGTACAGTAATAGCCTCAACTAATGTGGATATCCTACAGTGCTATACAGTGCAGTTTAACAGAGTACTGCAGTGTACAAGTTATATGTAGGAATTACAGTAATTGTGAAGATGGTAAGTACCTGAAGGACTTATATGAATGGAGGTTAATATTCATAAAGTGTCACCAGGGACTTGAATATTAAAAACAGGGTTTCCTAGTGTAATTCATCGTGTTAAATACAAATATAACATTGCCGTCAGAATTGAGGCAGGTAATTATATAGGACTAACCCTTGAGCGAAATTGATTGAAATATTTTTTTTAAAACGCCAGACTTTCATTGTAATATTGTAGTGGACGCTGCTGTAGTTTGTGGAAATATGTTAAAAAAATTGATATTTTTTAAATAAAAGCTACTTAACGTTTGTGGGTATGAACAGACCTAACCAACCAAAGCAAACAAACCTACCTAACCTTACCTAACTTCCCCTGGTATATGAAACAGAAAGAACTTAATATGATATGGTGAAATTTTAGGCATTTTCTGGACATGAGATAATACGGCCGCATCGGCGCTGTGCAGCCCTGCCGGGTTAGTACTGTATATTAGCCATGAGGCATAGTGAAGGTATAACTTACCTTAAGTGAGGCTTTGCTTGTGTCTGTCTCTTATTACACTACCATGTATAGCGTTCTGCACGATACTGACACTCGGATTTACATTTTGGACACTTAACAGATGATGCTGCATCATTCTTCAAAACACGGTGAATAACGTGCCAGTCAGCCAATGTACAGCCTTCACACACAGTATCCATCTTGAAACTGATCGGGAATCGAAGTTACGCTCATTGGAGCTTGAGTATTATGTCACAAAAACACTCACACTGATTCGCGTACACGACTACGATGTAAAAAAAATACTCCCACTGATTGGCTAAATATTATAAATAAAAATTTCAATTATCTCAAAAACTATAACTTTCCGTGTCGAAACGTTATAGAGGAAAAAATCTTTGTTCTCCATCTAACCATAGATGACTCAATATTGGGATCCCTGGTAACACTTTCTGAATATTGACCCTTATGAAGTTGCACCAAAATTTCTGTTATTTTCATGATATTAAACAAGAGGGCAAATATTCGTTTTAATGGCTGTAGCTCGTTTTTGTTCTGAGAATATTTTGTGTGTGCGTGTATTTAGATGTTTCACTCAAACCTGACTCACCTTTTGGGGCCAGTGAGCGAATTTTGTAAAAAATAAATAAAATTTTTTTTATTTTTTTCACAAAATTCAATCATATGCACAAGAAATGAAGGTCAGATTAAAAAAAACAACGCCTAAATAAAAAACTATTCTCAAAGAATAAATTTCCAAATCACTGTTGAAACCTAACCTAACCTAACAGCCATTAAGCAAATACAGTATTAACCAACAAGAAAATAAAAATGACAAGTTACAGAAACTAGCAGAACCTAATTTAAGCAACCTAATTTAAGCAACCTAACCTTACTTAACTTCGTAGCCAGGGGACTCCGCCCCTGGACTCCTTGGCATATGAAGCAGAAAGGGCTGACTTTAATATCTGGTATCAATAAAGGCAACTCTTGAAATAGCATTGAGTAATTTTATGATTTTATGGACATACGCTCGCCCCACAAGGGGTCACAGCTCAAGATTGAAGAAGCCGCAAGTCCAGAAAACTGTGAGGGCAAACTTTTTCGGAGTGAGGGTTGTAAACTCTTGGAACAATCTACCAGAGAGTGTTGTGATGGCACCGAGTGTGAGCTCTTTCAAGACAAGACTTGACCAACACTGGAGCGGGTTCAGGTACATTCAGGAGCCGGTGCAAGCCCAGTATTTGCCAACAGTGCGTGACAGAGAAGTGACCGATCACCCGGGCAGCTAACGAGCCGATCAGTGGCGAAGAGGATAAAAGTAAAAAGTAAAAGTATGAGAGGACGATCAGTTGTTGCACTGAAACACATATTTCTTCTTTTCACTGTCAGTTCTCTGCCACATTTTAAACACTTGCATGTCCTGCCATCTTGTACATGTTGACTGATGAACTCTTGGAGACGGTCTTCATCCTCCACAAGCACAGGTTACTTGTTAAACGGTACTGGATGACAGGGTAATTCTTGATTGAATATTTATGGTAAAAAAAAAATTCTTCATCTACAAACAGAATAAAGACATGAAAATACTGCCATAGGATCAGTGTTTGCAGTATTTTACCATGTAATTTCTCTGGTCTTTCATGCCCTGCCCACTACAAGTGATCTATAATCAAAGATAGAGAAAATTGGAAAAAAAAGAAAAATGTTGCCATGTCATCTTTTTTCCTCACTATCATTCAAGCAACATGTGTGGAAAATATGAATTTATTCTGTAAGTAATTTCTACAGCTAACCGTCTCCACCACTGTGACTCTGAGAACATAATGTTGTACTGTACAGGTACATAGTTAACACTTCTTTACAGACCAGGAATAATTTACTGAACTATTCCTCAAACACTGCCATATATGATTTAGGCTCATAAGCTGGTGTTTGTGGAATAGTAGTCAAAATTGATAATACTGTACTGTACTTACCATGAGGTTATATGTAAACTATTGTAGTGGACGTCTCCCCTACAAACTGCGTAGCTGCCACCACCTGCTACCGCCTCCCTAGCAACCAACCAGATGTTACCGTATCTTAGCAACGGAACTAGTCACCGGCGACTTCTCGGGTTTTCCCAACATGACTCATAGCGGCTGCTGCTGGGTATATAAGCTCTGTCTCTCCATTGAGATTCATTCTGACCATTCTTCTTGAACAAGCAACACCTCCTCCTCCGCCGCTGCCTGGCTGCCCTCGCTCCTCCTCGCCTGCCTGGCGGTCCTCGCTCCCGCCAGCGAGCATGGCGACCCACCAGCTGTCCTTCTCTGAGCTTCCTCACCAACCAACTCTCATTCTGCCCATCTTCCTGAACAAGCACCTCCAGCACCAGACTGTCTATCATATAACTTATATTAAGTATATAAGAAAACCACATTAGAGTTTCCTTCCATCCTGAGTGCTAGACAACATTAATATATCGACACCCCTACAATGGTGACTCCCGGAGATTAGCACTCACACAGGATGGAAGAGACACTGATCACGCTCCCAGTCTTCAAGCAGACACCGGCTCCTCTTCCTGCCCCAAGCACCACATCCTACGACCCCAGCACACCCGTCCTGCCTCAGACGCTGACCCAGGCCCACACACCCCAGCAGGCGCATCTGACGACTCAGTACCTGCCGTGAGGGAAGCACACAACATCCATCGCCTCCACACCCCCTCTTTTCTCCCTCAGGTACTCCCTGCTAATGTCCTGCACCCTGCTGCTGTCGTGGACCCAGCTGCTGTCACGAGCCCTAATCCGCTTCTGCTGACGCAGCCCCTGCTCCTGATCCAGGCCCACACACACCCCAGCAGGCGCATCTGACGACCCTGTACCTGTCGTGAGGGAAGCACACCAATCATCGCCTCCACACACCCTTTTTCTCCCTTCTCCCACAGATAGTGTGTATCTAGACAGTTGTATTTCAGCGTTCGGCTCATCACGCCATCGCCGTTGTCTCACATGAGGCATGCACCGCCCGGTCTGCCTCACATGTGCTAAGCAACTCTACAAACAACAAGTCTCCTACACCGCCTGGAGGGAAGGGGGAGTATTGTAGTGGACGTCTCCCCTACAAACTGCGTAGCTGCCACCACCTGCTACCGCCTCCCTAGCAACCAACCAGATGTTACCGTATCTTAGCAACGGAACTAGTCACCGGCGACTTCTCGGGTTTTCCCAACATGACTCATAGCGGCTGCTGCTGGGTATATAAGCTCTGTCTCTCCATTGAGATTCATTCTGACCATTCTTCTTGAACAAGCAACACCTCCTCCGCCGCTGCCTGGCTGCCCTCGCTCCTCCTCGCCTGCCTGGCGGTCCTCGCTCCCGCCAGCGAGCATGGCGACCCACCAGCTGTCCTTCTCTGAGCTTCCTCACCAACCAACTCTCATTCTGCCCATCTTCCTGAACAAGTACAGTCAACCCTCACATTACGCGGTCCCGCATTCCGCGGTTCACCGTTAACGCGGTGCCCTGCCGGAACCTAACATGCTCACATTCCGCGGTCGTGAACCCCATTACGCGGAGAGCGGCTGGCAAGCCGCGCCATTTTTGGATCCAAACCTCCCGCCATCCGCCATGTTGTGTAAGAGGCGCGAAAATGGTGCGCACAAGGTCGCCCAGTCATCAAAACATTACCAGTTCTTCACCCGCCACCCACTACAGCCGGCCCAAGTCAGTGATAGTGATAATTATAGTGAGGATATGGACTTATATGAACTTTGGGGGGTTTGACAAAGAGGCCCTGCAAGCCTCTGTGGTGGATAGTGATACAATTGATACAAGTGATACAGGTGAGGGCCAATAATCTGCCCTCTGCCTCGGAACCAACCGCCCATCCCCGTGTGTCCAGCCATCTTTTCTACTAATATAAGTGTTAAAAAACCTAATATTATTGATATTTCTCTTAATTATTAATTGTGTGTGCATGCCATCATAAAGTTAAGATAATATTTTTACTACAACATAGTTGTGTGTCGTCAAAAAGTGGAGTTTGGGGATTGGCCTGGACTCCATTTCAATTAATCCCATATGTTATGTTGTTCACTTTACGCGTTCCTCACTTTCCGCAGTACCCTCCGGGTTACATTAACCGCGTAATGTGAGACCCAACTGTACCTCCAGCACCAGACTGTCTATCATATAACTTATATTAAGT